CAACACTTTCATGGCCAGAGGTCGCTAAGCCGAGCAAAATGTCAGTCCGGCGTTCCGACAAACACCTTTCGGGCAGCAGAACGCCTCAAGACAAAGCTCAAGGCCGTAACCAAGAGCTAAGCATTAACCTCAACCTAAGCTCAAAAAACGTAAGGGTTGAGCCGAAACTAAGTTAGCCAAGCTCTAAAACTTCTACATCTACTATCCCGACACTCGATGAGTGAACTACTCACTCATGGCTACGGGAAAAGCCATGATTGAGCTCGAGTGAGGTACGAATGATGTTATGCAAAGATAAGTGCGATTAATCAAGCAAAGATTGAAACTTTAAGCTAAAGACTAAACCTTTATAAAGAAAGTAACTTAGAATACCAAAGATCCGATGCCCTAAGGATCGATTACAACTCAAGCGTAAAAGGAAAAAAAACTAAGAAGACTTAGATTTTTTCAGGGGTTAAGAACATATATATAGCCCTTCATAACAGTACCCGGATCGACCCGAAACGTAAATAGATCGCCCAGCTCGAGTCAACGGTCGACCCAGAAAAGTCAACAAAATACATTTAATATCGGCCATTTCATATCAGGGAAGTGACCGATATCTGTTGCCTAGCCAGCGCATCCAGCAGCTCTCGTGTTGCAACACGAGCTTCTCGATAGGCGCAGTATATCGGTCTTCCTCATCGGTTAATGCTGATATCATAGGATATCGGTTTCTTCAGCTTATTCTTCACCCAGTTTGATGCGCCTAGTCCAACGGTTGGAGAGTCTTTATACTCCATCATAACAAGGGGATAACCAGGGACATATGTGCATAGATTTAAGGTGCACTAACGTCCTGATTCTCACCCAAGTCATGAACTTCAGTGGGTTTGTTAAGACTCCATCTTCCCGCTATTCCAAGTGCTTCTCACCGGCGTTCCTTGATGATTCTCGACTGATTTCTGCTCCACTGCTCCCCGTTCGATCCGGAACCTTGTAATTCCTTTACTCATCTACTCCTTTGTACTCCACTCCATTCTCCTAGGCTCTAGTAAGCCGGATAACTCCAAATAAGCACAAGTACCGCCTGAAAAAGGATAAAAGAAAGAGAAATATGTACAACTCTATCCTAGGACTCTAAGATGCAAATGTGAACTAAACTATGGCTAAAGAGCGCCTAAATGATGCAGAATGAAGCCAAACAGAGGGTAAAAGTATGCAAATATGTACACAGATAATACAAATATATAGATATATCA